CCTACTATATTATATACAGATGATAAATGGGCTGAGAAAGAAATCAGAGAAACATCACCCTTTACAATAGCCACAAACAACATAAAATATCTTGGGGTAATGCTAACCAAACAAGTGAAAGACCTGTATAACAAGAACTTTGAGTCTTTAAAGAAAGAAATTAGGGGGCTGGAGAGATGGCTCAGCGGTTAAGAGCACTGACTGTTCTTCAAGAGGTCCCGAGTTCAATTCCCAGAAACCACATGGTGGCTCACAACCACTTTGAATGAGATCTGGTGCTCTCTGCTGGAATGCAGGCAGAAGACATAATAAATAAATAAAATCTTGAAAAAAAAGAAAGAAATTAAAGAAGATAGCAGAAAATATAAAGATCTCCCATGTTCTTGGATAGGCAGGATCAACATAGTAAAAATGGCAATCTTGCCAAAAGCAATGTACAGATTCAATGCAATCCCTACCAAAATCCCAACACAATTCTTCACAGACCTTGAAAGAACGATATGCAAAGTTATATGGAAAAACAAAAAAATCCAGGATAGCTAAAACAATCCTGTACAATAAAGAAACTTCCAGAGGCATTACCATCCCTGACTTCAAGCACTATTATAGAGCTGTAGTCCTGAAAACAGCTTGGTATTGGCACAAAAATAGACAGGTAGACCAATGGATATTAACCCACACACCTGCAAACACTTGATTTTTTACAAAGAAGGTAAAGTTATACAATGGAAAAAAGAAAGCATCTTCAGCAAATGGTGCTGGCATAACTGGATGCTGGCATGTAGAAGACTGCAGATAGATCCATATCTATCACCATGCACAAAACTTAAGTCCAAATGGATCAAAGACCTCAACATAAATCCAGCCATACTGAACCTCTTCGAAGAGAAAGTGGGAGGTACCCTTGAACGAATTGGTACAGGACAGACACCGATATCGACAATTAATAAATGGGACTTCCTGAAACTGGGAAGCTTCTGTATGGCAAAGGACACAGTCAACAAGACAAAACGGCAGCCCTCAGAATGGGAAAAGATATTCACCAACCCCACATCAGACAGAGGGCTGATTTCTAAAATATACAAAGAACTCAAGAACATAGCCACCAAAACACCAAACAATCCAATTTAAAAAGTGGGGTACAGAACTAAATAGAGAATTCTCAATAGAGGAATCTAAAATGGCTGAAAGACACTTAAGAAAGTGCTCAACAGCCAGGTGTTGGTGGCGCACGCCTTTAATCCCAGCACTTGGGAGGCAGATGCAGGCAGAGCTCTGCGAGTTCGAGGTCAGCCTGGTTTACAGAGTGAGTGCCAGGATAGGTTCCAAAGCTATATAGAGAAACCCTGCCTTGAAAAAACAAAAATAAATAAATAAATAAATAAATAAATAAATAGGGGGTGCTGTAGAGATGGCTCAGTGGTTAAGAGCAGTGGCTGATCTTCCAGAGGACCCGGGTTCTGTTCCCAGCACTCACATGGCAGCTCACACCTGTCTGTAACTCCAGTTCGAGGGGATCTAGTATCCTTACACCAATGCACATAAAATAAAGTTAAATAAAGTATTTAAAAAAAAAAAAAGAAAGAAAAGAAAAAGAAAGTGCTCAACATCCTTAGCTATCAGGGAAATGCAACTCAAAACCACTCTGAGATACCATCTTACTCCTGTCAGAATGGCTAAAATCAAAACCACCAATGACAGTTTATGTTGGAGAGGATGTGGAGAAAGGGGAACACTCCTCCATTGCTGGTGGGAGTGCCAACTTGTGTGGCCACTTTGGAAATCAGTATGGTGGTTTCTCAGGAAAGTGGGAATCAGTCAACCTCAAGATCCAGCATATACCCAAAGAATGCACATTCATACATCAAGGACATATGTTCAACTATGTTCATAGCAGCGTTGTTTGTAATAGCCAGAACCTGGAAGCAGCCTAGATGCCCCTCAACTGCAAAGGACTGCCAGCCTACAATCCACACCACCAGAGTAACTAGGAAACAAAGAGGACCCTAAGAGAGAAACACATGGTCCTCTGAAGAAGGGGAAAGGGACAAGAACCCCTGAGCAAATTGGGAGCATGGGAGGGGGAGGGAAAAGATACAAAAAAGAGAAGGGGAGAAGAGAACAAGAGAGATCAGGAAGACTGAGTCAGGAGAGAAATAGAAGAGAGCAACAAAAGAGATATCTTAATAGAGGGAGCCAGTATAGGTTTAAAGAGAAATCTGGCATAAGGAAAATGTTCAGAGATCCACAAGGATGACCTCAACTAAGAATCTAAGCAATAGGGGAGAGGCGGCCTTTGATGCCCTTCCCCTAAAATAAGATTGATGACTACCTTAATTGTTATTCTAGAGCCTTCATCCAGTAGCTGACTGAAGCAGAAGCAGGCACCCACAGCTAAGCACTGAGCCATACTCCTGGAATCCAGTTGTAGAGAGGGAGGATGGAAGAGCAAAGGAGCCAAGACCATGTAAGAGAAACCCACAGAAACAGTTGACCTGACCTAGAGAGAGTACAGGGACCCCAGTCATAAAGCTGGGGAACCAGCATTGGATCAAACCAAGCCCCCTGAGTGTGGGTGTCAGCTAGGAGGCCTGGGCAGTCTATGGGACCTCTAACAGTGGAGCTAGTGTTTATCCCTAGTGTACAAATGGACTTTGATATCCTATTTCCTATGGAGGGATACTATTGCAGCCCAGATACATGGAAGAGGGCCTAGGCTCTCCCTCAAATGATATAACAGACTTTGATGAATCCCCATTAAAGGCCTCACTACCCTTGGAGAGTGGGTGGGGGTGGGTTGGGGGAGCCAGTGGGGGCAAGGGAGGATGGGAATGTGAGGGAATGGGGGGATTGATACCTAAAAAAAGATTGTTTCTAAAATAAAATAATAATAATAATAAAATAAACTTACTCTGCGGACTGCTACTTGATTGTTGCAGACAAGTACTCCCCCTACAAATTCCGCTTGAATCCCCTCCCGCAAAAGAACTTGCTTGAAGTCAGACAGTCTTGGTTCATTCATAAAAACTGACTGGTGTCCAGGAACCTTGAATAAAGTCAAAGGGGAAAGAGTAACATCAGTTAAACAGTAGGCACAAAGCTGTATTGGATAAAGTAGAGGGCTGCATGGTCTCTAAGATATTTTTATTACTCCCTCAATCCTTTGACAGATCATTTCAGGACTGTCAGTTACATTCTAAGTTTTGTTATTCGGGTTCTACTTTGTCACTTACCATTACAAAGCCCTTCACATTTTCTGATGTTTCACAATTTCATTAGTCATGCCTCCTATAACAGAGACTCAAGGTAATATTATGCTCTTCACCCACCCACTCGCTGGAGGGGTCAATGAGAGTGTGAAGAGGCAGAACTGAACTGAAACCTCACTTCCAGGCCCCAGTCCCCTGTTTAGTTCAGAGTATAAGTCTTTCCTAATCCCACTTCCACATTCCTGCCTCCTCAGAGAGTCTGCAATGGGTACTACAGGCTGAGAACCAGAAAGGCAAGTAGTTTTGCCTACTCTGAACGTGCTTTGGAGGGTACTATTGCTTTAGTACAGAGAAAAAATTCCTCTTTCCTCCTCTTCCCAATTTCAAGGGTAGTGCTGTATCAGAAGCCAGCAGAAAGTACTATCTCTATCGCAACTAAAGACTTCACTTAACAAGCCTGTAGGACTCTTACAGCATTAATATTGCTCTAGTTTCACCACCTAGGAGCTTTTCTAATTAACTAGGTCCCTCTTGAGAACATGTAACTCCTAGGCCAGCATTAAAGTTATAGTCAGTGGAAGAAGACATTTAACTGCATCAAACCAAAGTGATTTGAATGGAACCGACAACACAGAAAAATGGCACTCTTAGTACACTCTCATCTCCTCACTGGAGAGCCTCACAGACTCCGTATTTCAAAATCCATTCTAAAAACACAGATCGCGAACGACTGCATTATTAGCCAAGGGAGAGTGATATGACACTCGTGACAGGAAAGCAGAAAGGAGGGGCCAGGGCTTGAGGGAGAAGAGAAAGAGAGAATTCACAAAACAGTTCTGTTTGAAAATAAATAATAAACTGGGCGGTGGTGGCGCATGTCTTTAATCCCAGCACTCGGGAAGCAGAGGCAGGCAGATCTCTATGAGTTCAAGACCAGCCTGGTCTATAAGAGCTAGTTCCAGGACAGGCTCAAAAACTACACAGGGAAACCCTGCCTCAAAAATAAATAAATGAATAAATAAATAAATAAATAATAACACTGTAAAGCCTTGTCTCAAAAATGAATGAATGAATAAAGTATAACATTGTGCATCCTACCTGAAAAATTTTAATAATTAAAAAAGGATTTGGTAAAGGTTTTCTTTAAATTATCATCCTCTAGCTGCAAAGACTGAGACACACAGATACATGCCCTGGGTAATCTTTTGTAAGAGCTCCAAATTTGGCCCCCACACAATGTATTTTAAACAGCTAAAATCACAACAGGGGAGCTAGAAGGATGACAAGTGGGGAGACAGACAGACTGGGGGTGTGGCTCAATGGAGAAGCATGTGACTAGCATGTCTGAGGACCATCAATCAAGCCCCAGGGCCACTAAAAGGTAGAGACAAGAGAAAGCAGCGACCTCTGACCTCATGAGGTGGCAAAGGCTCCAGTGTGGGGATGATCTCACTCTCTTCACCCAATTCCTTGTCATCATCTCCAAACAGACTTTTCATGGCCTTCTGCTGGGCTATGGCACTGGAATCTGAAGGACCATCCACTTGCATTTCAGAGTCTTCTCCATCATCCTTGAGCTCTCCTTCTTCTAAAATAACTCCTGTGTCCACTTTGGAAACTCTCATGTCTAGGACACCATCTATCCAAGCCAGCTCGGCATCTTTAGCTTTACAAAACTGAAGGGAGCTGACAAGCGAGTCCTTTAATCGTACCTGGATATGCAAAGGGAGGGGAGGTTAACAAAGGGAGGGTGTAGGTTAACAAATCAAACATAGTCTTCTGCCATTTTCTAACTCTGGCAATATGATCAACATCTGAAAATCTCTCTCCTCAGGCTGTCATTCTTCACAGTGACCCAATTATCTGTAAGGGCTTGAGAATCCCTGGCCATTTTCCAAAATAAGACTGTCAATCTGACTGTACAACAGAGTCACGGCGTCCCACACCCACCTGGATACTAACACTGGGGTGCCACCTCTAGTATTTCTAGTGTGATCATTGAAATGAAGACTAGTGCTCAGATGACCATCTGTGCAGCTATGGCTGCTGTGCTTTCTGGAATGTGCCATTAATTTCACACCTCCATGTCTCTTTCTCTTACATACCCGATATGATTTTCTGCCGGGCAAGTTCTAACCTCTTCCAGATATAGATGTCACGCCTACCTTCACTGTCACTATCTCCAGATAAGACTATTTCTCCTTCATTTAGCCACACTGTTTCTTTCAATTAGGAGAACTACGACATCTGCTGAGTTTTTTTAAAAAAACTTTTTTTTTTTTTTTTTTTTTTTGAGGCTGGGCATGGTAGAATATGCCTATAATTTTCGCACTTTGGAGGCTGAGGCAGCAGAATCAAGTTTGAGACTAGCCTGGGCTACACAGCCAGACCCTGCCATTCATAATGAAGAAATGGACGTATGTTTTTGATTTTGAGAATGCTTATCATTCCCTCACATTGGTACTTTGGCCAAAGTTGTCTATCTGACTAGAACACTCTTTCCCCACTCTTTGCTGCTGTCTGTCCTGACAAAGTAGCTAAACATCCAATAAGAGCCTGTTTAGGGTGCTGCAGAGATGGCTTGGTGGTTAGGAACACAGGCTGCTCTTCCAGAGGACCAGGGTTCAATTCCTAGGACCCACATGGCAGCTCACAACTGTCTGTAACTCCAATTCCAAAGGATCTCACACACTCATACAGACATACATGCAGGGAAAACACCAATCAATGCTCATAAAATAAAAATAATTATTTTTTTTAAAAAGCCTGTTTAGTTGTCATTTTTTTTTTCCAGGAAACCTTTTCCAAACCTCCAAACTTGAGTAGGAGCCCTCTTCTTTATCTCCCAGCACCTTACACACTGCCAAATGAGTAAGTGTTAGGGGCATTTGATTTATTTGGTTTAAACATCTCGAATTTAGGGATTGTTAGGGTAGGGAGCTGTACCCATCTCACTCACCATATTCCTAATGTACATGAGCTAGTGTGCCAACAGCAATGTCTACTTCCCCATGGCTCCACTGACAACATATTTACCTGGTAGATATGCGTTTCGCTTGTGGCATCAACTGTTTCGTGTAGCTTTGGCATGTACACTTTAATATCTTTCCCACCAAATGCACGGCAACACTCGGCCAGGTCCTGACTGGCCTCTGGTGGGCCATGGACAATGATCAACTGCCGTGGTTTCATCTGATTGATGATCTTTTTAATGGAGTCTCCGTCCGAACGTCCTTCATAGTCTATGTAAGTAACCCTGGCTCTGTAATTAAATATCATTATTCAAGCTCACTTTCTTAACTCTAAAAGTAGGCTTTTACCATCAGGAAAGAAATGCATATAAGGAGAAATTGTAAAATGCATGTTACAGTATGACTCCCAATTAAGAATATACACAAAAGATATCACTGAACAAAAAACCATTTGTTCTCTGATGATTCAAATTCCAAAATAATCACTTCTTGGCAGTATTAACTGGACTATGCAGGAAAGGAAAGAATTTCTTGACTACTTCTGGTCCTGAAAATTTTCTACCCCCAAACATTAGAATGTCTAAGTCAAGGAGGACATTTCATGAAGCAAGTAATATGCAGAAGAATTAGCTTCTCAGCTGCACCATTCTCCCACCTGCTACTAGATTTATTAAAAAGGCAGGAAATAATGTCTCTTCATATAAATGTACAATTTAATCTTCAGCTCCCTTCCCAACAATTACTTTGGTATTCAAGGATCCTCAATGAAAATACCAACATACTTCACAGAAAAGGGAGTTTTAAAAGCATGAACTCATAGTGGCTCTGCTGAAATCTCACTTTTGAAACAATGTAAGTTATATAATTCAAGGGCTTGAAACTATATCTTACCTGATATAGTTTACCCTGATCTCCAAACCCCACAAAGGCACTTACTTTATCTCAATAGACTCTGTTGCAGAAACACACTTGGTGGGAACATCAGACAGGTCCTGATCCATGGGCTCATCTCCATTTGTCAAACCCGATTCTAATTTGTTTTTTTCTTCTTCAGTGGCCTGAAGTTCTGGCACTAAGAAATCTTCTGGTCTAAACAGTGATTCTCTAATTACACACATGGAAGGTATGCTAACATTATGTAACATATGTAACAGACTAATAGATGGCATAATTTAAAGACTCCTCGAATATCTTAAGACTTAATTCAACTCAAAGCTAATTAATGCACACTACCAATCAGATGATTATATGTGCTATGTTTTTTATAACTACTGAAGAGTGCTATTTATTTATTTAGCTAGCAGCACTAAGGACCAAACCCATGACCTTACACAAGCTAGACAAGCATGCTATTCCTGAGCTACATTCTCCAGCCGGAGAACGCTCTTTAAGGATGATGTAGACTGCTGAGAAACCCTGAACACATCAAAAAAAGAACTGAATGGCTGGAACAAGCAACAAGCACTCTTGAAATCTGGCCCTGCATTTTTGGTTGTTGTTGCTTATTTGTTTTTTGTTTTGTTTTGTTTTTTTGAGACAGGGTTTCTCTTTATAGCCCTGGCTACCCTGGAATTAGCTTTGTAGACCAGGCTGGTCTCAAATTCACAGAGATCCACCTGCCTCTTCCACCCCAGTGCTGGAACTAAAGGCGTGCAACACCACCACCACCACCACTGGACGGCCCTGCACTCTTTATAATTTACTTGTTTGTGTGAGTGTATGTGTATGTGTGCCCCACAACAACTCTCCCTGTGAGCACTGCTGAAAAGAGTGAGATACCTGTTTTTACAATCCTCTACCACCCTGTGACCATCCTTCTAACGTTCTAGTCCATTCTCACTCCTCTCTGAGAACCCAGGCTCTATTCTCTAACAGCCAGGTTGCTACAGTTTCTTACTCCCCACAGTTAACATCCCCAACTCTAAACCACAGAATAACCATAGCAGTAACAACCACTTAAAGCACATTTAGTGTGATTCCAGGCTAGAGACCTTCCTTAAAAACAAAATCTCACAGGCTAGAGTGTAATTCAGTGATAGAATAACTGCCTAGCATTTACAAGACCCTGGGTTTGATCTCTAAAGCCCCTCCCCTCCCCCCAAACCCAAAGCAAAAACAAAAACTTCCTACAACTTCATTTAATTTGTATCCCCATGTTTCTTAGGAAAGTCAAGTTAAAGAGTAGTGTCCAGGGCCATGAGATGGATGGCTCAGTGGGTTAAGGAATTTGCTGCCCAAATTGACAACCTGAGTTTGATCTCCAGAACCTACAATGGAATGAAAGAACTGACTCTTGCAAGTTGTCTTCTGGTTTCCACATACACATATGTATACAAGGCACATTTGTGTACACACACACACACACACACACACAGAGAGTAAGCAGCAGACTGGTCACTTATCAAATGAACCTAAAAAAACACCAGCATTGTTTACATTGCCATGTTTTCTCTTGGTTGTTTTAGAGGGCTATGTAGACAATGGGACTTTCCTAAGTAAGCACAAGAATGATCTAAGACTACCACTTGCTCAACAACATTATGGAAGTACTAGGCAAGTATAAAATACATGCTTATAATCCTGGCTATACAAGTGGTAAACAAGTGCGTATCAATGCAGAGAGAGAGAGACACTTAAATATATCTATATATAGCCAGACAGGGAAGGGAAGAGGAAAACATGAGAGCAAGAATGTCAGACACTGTGTACTAGGCCAAGGCACCTAACTGTTTCTGGGGAAGCAGAGGGAACCCTGGCAGACTTTTACTCAGGTTAGCAATGTTTCCAAAACTGCAGTCTGAGTATGTGATTTTAGTTGTTTTTCATGGTTCCACCCTTTATTTCATATTCCCCTTGTAGCCAAAAGTATTATAAATACAACTACCAGCAAAAACTCCACAGCATGTCCCTTAGCTTCAAACCTTTCATGAAACCAAGTAATTAAACTACACACTCCCTTTCCTACTAATCCTCAAGATGCCCCTCAACGTTTCTGTTTTATGCTTCCAATTCCAAGCCTCCTCTATCTCTCAAGCCAAGGCATTCAAGAGCAAAGCACATGGCGACCAGAGAGATCCAATTCACCGAGCCCAAAGAGTTTGTTTTGCTCACATACTTGATGATCTCGCCATATTCATCCCATTTAATTCTTTCTTCTGGGGCAGGAAACATAGGGTAGGATTTTTTGGCCTGTTTGAAGAAGCTGCCTTTGCGACTGCCTTCGCCTTTCATCATCAGGTCATGCTTTGTCTTATGAGCTGAAGGCTGGTCGATATCTTCCTCCACATCACTCTCATCACTGGAGTCGATATCCGCCCTGGGAGGGTTTGGGAACACAGCAGGGTCACAATGTTACTAAGTCAGTTTGGCTTAGTATTTATAAAACCATGAATGAATGAATGACTATCCACTGTTACCCCAAGTCATAGTAGTTGGTATAAGTAGATCAGGGTTTTGTAAAAATGTGACATTACCATCCTTAATACATTGGCATTATTAGCACTCAAAAGGTTTTATTTTTGCCATTTGAAAATGTTAATAAGTCATAAAGCCTTAAGACAATTTAAGCTATCTTCACTGAAGGCCACTGAGTGTTTGAATCCTACAAATGTGTTCTTTTTACATTATATGCTGACTTAACCTTACGAGTTACTCTTATGTGAGTGACTCACTCTTTCGACTGCTCAAGTTTCTTAGCAGCTTCTTTCTTTAGTTTCTCTTTTTCCACATATTCTTCGAGTTCTTTCCCTTCAAGCTTCACGCGTTTCCTCAGCTAATGAAAAAGACAAGAGAAAGTCAGCATCAGAAGAGCTGGGTATGAGACACATCGCTTCTCTGAAGTGACCCATAACCTTTAAATTCCCATCTAAATCAATCAAGTTTCGATGACACAGACTCATACATCTTCTTTAGAGTAGCACTAACACTGAACTGTTAGAGGATGGATTTCAGTCAAACTGGCTAAAATACACCAGTCAACCTCGGAAAGGAAGCAGAGCTAAATACTGTTATAATTTAAAGTAGAAAAGCCACAGTAAGAACCAAAGCCGTAAGTCATAAGGGGAAAATAAAACATCTTTCACATTTTAAATCTCACAGAACTAAAAGAAAAGATGAAAATACTGACTGTACTATGACTGTCAGAACTTATGTTTTCCTAAGAACTCCCAAAATCAAGACAGAACGAACACATCAAAAAGGACAAAATGTGCAGAGAAAAAACAATTTTTTTTTCTTTTTTTGGTTTTTTCTGTGGCTTTGGAGGCTGTCCTGGAACTAGCTCTTGTAGACCAGGCTGGTCTCGAACTCACAGAGATCCACCTGCCTCTACCTCCTGAGTGCTGGGATGCAGAGAAAATTTTAAAAATAAAAAACATGAATGGCTTATAGCCATGGATAGATGACTAAGTTTACCAATGGTGTTGACACAGACAACATGTAAAAGTTAACACGATTTGTTTAATTTGCAAGACTGGAAATGCCTACCTGGAGAAGGGATACCTCGTTATTTCTAGCAGATATTATTAGCAAACTGTTAGAAGATAATTTGCTAACAACTAAAAATAAAAATGTGCTTATCTTTTGATGCAATTCTTCCTATTTCTAGGAATTTATTCTACTGAAACAGAGACCTTAAAAACATATAGAAATAATATTTAAAATAATAATAAAACTGGCAAATTCGTCAATGTGGAAAAACTGAATTAGTAGTTTTCATTCTTTTATCATCAGAGTCCCATAAAAACCAGAGAACCCTTGGGGCTGGTGAGATGGCTCAGTGGGGAAAGGCACTTGCCAAGAAGGCCTCACGGCCTATGCTCCAACCCTAGAGCTCACTGTGGAAGGAATCAACGCCAGAAAGTTGTCCTCTGACTTCACTGTGTGCACCACATGTATATACAATTCACACATAAATAAAAAATTAAAAATATAGTCAAAGAACCCCTGGGGTTGAGAGATGACTAAGAGAACAGCCTGCTATTCCAGATGATCTGGGTTTGGTTCACAGCAGCTCACAACCATCTGTAATTGCAGTTCCAGGGCATCCAACACCCTCTTCTGGTCTCCATGGGCACCAGGCATGCATGTAATGCAGACATACAAGGAGACAAAGCACCCACATACATAAAATAATGAAAAAAAAAAGTAGTGTAAACAGAGCCTAGATTTTAAATTGGGGAGGTGGATGTAGGGTGTACTTGTATATGGGTGAGGTCATGAAATTAGAAAGGGGATCATGAGAAAGGGGGAAGAATCCGTGGAAGGAGAAACAAGACGGTAACGGAATACACGTGATAAGAGCAGAAAGAGGAACTACTTGGGGGAAGGGAGGAAGTCAGTGGGGGTAGGGGAGAGGCATAAAGAGAGCAAAATGCAATGCCACATTTGTACAACAAAATGCCATACTGAAACTCACCATTTTGTGTGCTAACCTAAAATTTAATGATTTTTAAATGTCAAGTCATAACAACTCAATGCAACATGCACTCTTAGGTGGGATCACAGAAAAACTGAACAGGGAATTAAAAAGGACACTGTTGTGCCAACCAGCTAGAGTTGGCAGGGTCATCAGATTAAATGGTAGTATGATTTCAGTGTTTATCTCCTGTTTTCTGTGTTCTTGTTTCCACACAATACACACTGTGGTACTATCCAAGGCAATGCTGGAATAACTACTGTTTGTTTCAAAATGTGTGTGTAATATTGTGTCTGTGTAGATACAAGATACTATACAGCAAACCCAGCTAAAACCTCAACAACTTGGGAGTTAGAGTATCCACACTATTTTTGTGACTTTTGGCTAAATTTGAAACTATTTCAAAAATAAAAATTAAACCAAAATTAACTGATGAACACTCGCAAATGTGGCATCTCACATCTGGCTATTAGCTTACTGGAAATGTGTTTAAAATTATAAGCAGTTAACAACTCACATAGATACCTTGCACACAAATTTTTTTTTCATTAAGTATTTAATTCCCTCATTTAACTTGTACCTCTTATAAAAATGTTGTTCTTAGCCTGGTGTGGTGACTCAAGCCTGGACCTCACAACCCAGGAACTTCAGGAGGGAGAATGGAGTTTCAGTTCAGACTGGACAATATAGCAAAACCCCATCTCAAAAAAATAATTAAATAAAATTTGTCTCAGTTCTGTATTCCAATTCTGAGACCTGATATTAGCTGCTGTATTCATAAAGTTTCCAGAACAATCAACTCTAAAATACATTCCTTCTCCACTTTCACAGTATCACTCCAAGTCTTGCCTTTTCCTAATATAAACTCTAGTCTGTTTCTTCATTCACCCCCACCCCCGCCTTTTTAAAATTACTGGCTTTGCTCTTTTTAAATGAACAAGGCTTAATTTCCTAGGGCACTATATGTATGCAAAAAAATAGACCCACAGTAAATGCTAATGTGTCAGAGGACTGGCCTGTGAGGAACTCGCTCTTTTGTCATCATGATAGCCACCAGCACATTCACTGAGGGCCAGCAGTGCAATGGCACTTTCCTGGCCACTACGAAGGTCCCTCTTCTTCTGGAACTCCATTCAATTTGGTAGCAAAAAGAAGACAACAAACAAGGAAACATGTGGTAATGAATATTAAGAAAAATAATACAAGGTTGTATCTAACCAGATAGTTGTGATGGTGCACACCCTTTTATGCACTCAGGGAGCAGAGACAGACGGATGTGACCATATAAGGGGCAGAACAAGGTATGGGAGAGAAGGGAGGAGAAGGTGAGTGGGGACAGAACCTGAGCACACCAAGTAGCCTTTTAAATTAAAGCCTCCCCCTTTGTTTCTGCTGTTTCTGATATCATGAGGATACTTTAGAATATCATTTTGCTTTTTTTTTTCAAACTTTTAATGTCCTTTTAATTCCTCAATGGCATATCAACCCTAATTGAGTTTCTAGTAATTAAAAATTTCAAATGCAGTACTTCATTTCTCATGAAACTATTAAGTACTTCTGAGTTATTTTAACTTGATATTTCTAAGCTATTAAATAACCCAAGACAGTATTTTATTTTGATATACTTGCTTGGAATCCTTTTGTCAGCAATGCTGTAGTTAGTGAACATTTATCAGACTTTAGTTGCTAATAATGATGCTTTTCTTAAACTACTTATTATATTAAGAGAAGGATACCAGATAGCTTTCACAAAGTAAATATACCTTCAAATGCTGCTATGAGGACAAAATACAAAATGGCCATTCAAACTATGCATAAGTCTTGCAGCTACTAGCCAACCCACTTGAAGTGATGGCCATGGACATCTGTCAACAATACTGGTTGTGGAAATCTGACAGATTTGATGGCCTGGTTATTAAGCAAAATCTTTCCACATCTTGGTCGTTCCGTTAGCTGCCTTGTTAATGAAGGTGCAGAGGTGGGTTAGTGTATTTAGTGGGAGGAGACAGGATTCCTGACTGGCCTTCTACTTCTCTGTTAAATTCCAGGCAAGGTCATGTGCAAAGGATGAGGCTAGGTTAGTTGTGGAACACTGGAAGAGAAAGAAGGCAAAGGCTGGCTTACTGGGGAATGAGAAAATGAATGTTCCACTGAGTGCTGAATGCTACTGTTGGTTCGCTTCCGAGGTGAGGTCTCCACATGAAGGGAAATGTGTTCACTGCTCCTGTTTAACTCACATGGCAGAAAGCTGCTTGAGTGCAGGCACACACTAGTGCAAAGATGTGGCTAGGTGACAGGAAAGGCAGGCTTGCTAATAGTGTCTGCACTATTAGCAAGTGTGAGAGGGAAAGTCATTTTTCTTTGAGGATACGGCATAAGCACAGTGCCCATGCTTCAGAAGATGGCTTCACGCATACTCACATGTACACAGGCAGCACTAACTGGAGCCATTGGCAGGTAAATAAAATAAATTTAAAGTTTGAACGTAACTAAGTGCTTACCTCTATTTCTGTAACTTTCTCAGAAGGATTATCAATTAAGAAACGAGCTAAAGTCCCAGGAGTTGTTCTATAAGTTAAAATGATTGAGTTTTTAGGATCCTGGCACCACTGAATAAAGAGGTCCCTTGAGAATCCACACTCCAGGTCAGGCTGGCTGGCAAGTACAACTTTGGGGCTTGGAACTCGAGCCAAGTCAGAAAGACCATGGCACAGAGAGAGATGGCGAAACTGAAATGGATTATTTCTCTTGTCTTCAAAACATCTCATCAATTTATCACTCATCCATTCTACCTAAGGCAAGGGGGGAAATGACAATAATTAGAAAATGCTATATTGTGAAATATTTAACAATAATCAAAATTTAAGACTCCCCCCGACCCAATTTGTGCCATTTGGACAAGTAGCTAATTGGTCCTTTTTCCCATTAGATTCTCCTGTTCCAGTTTTTAATCCTTAAAAAAACAACAACCCCCCTCCCCAATTTTGTCAAGTGTGGTTTTGCATGCCTTTAATCCCTACGCAGAAGAGATCTGCAGAAGCTGGAGGCTCTGACTTTGGAGCCAGCCTGGTCTATAGAGAATTCCAAAGCCAGGGCTACACAAAGAAACCCTGTCTTGAAAACAACAATTGTGCAGTGTTTCACTGATGTGGGCTTAAATCTTTCTGAGAAGAGAATGTGTTCTAAATGAATATCGGAACCAGGTATCATTGCTTGGAGGGAAAGAATTCATTTTAAGATGAATTCACTGGGCTGTGGTGGCTCATCTTCGGGAGACAGAGGCCATCTCAGTGAGTTCTAGGCCAGCCTGGTCTACAGAGTGAGTTCCAGGACAGCCAGGACTGTTACACAGACCCTGTCTTGAAACTCTGCCCCCACCCAAAAGAATGATGAATTCTAGCATTGATATTTTACTTTTACTCCCATTTTATAGATCAGAAAACCAAGAGTTAGAAAACAAGCAACTTGCTCAACCTGTCAAATGAGGACAAAAACAGAAATCTTAAGCGTAAATGAAGTAACATATGTGAAGAACACAGGACAGTAAACAGTTAACATTCAGCTACTATTATTATCAATTGCAGAAAAATAATATTTGAAGGGCACTACACTTAGCCTCTTTCCTCAATGTCACGGGAGAACAAAGAACAAACCTGTGACTTAGAAAACTCCACCACGTTATAGCTGACGTTATTCAGGAGGGCCAGTGAATAAACACCAAGGCCTGCATCTTTAGTTCTCCAAATCTGATCAAGAAGTTGAGCAAGCTCCAGAACCCTGCCGGCTGTGTCCACTGCTATTAGAACATTTCCATCACCACGGAGAGTTTCCAGAACATTTGCTTAAACAAGATCAGAAGAGCCCCATGAAGCACATGCTTTGCAACAAAACTAAACAGTTTCCAGTGTCTTCTATAAAGACTGCATAAGTAATTACTAGGATACATATAAAAGTATTTGTTCAGATCAACACAATGACTGTTGACTTGGTTATATATATCTTTTTAGGAATAAAACACATGATACATGTTTTGTATGAATGCATGTAGAATAAAACACAGAACATGTAACCTTCCAAGAAGAAAAGCATCTTTGGCAATAGCTGTCAATGTCAGCTTCAAGTGCTGGGTAAAAGCAAACTCTACCCAGTAAACATGCTCACGCATGTATACATACACACACATGAATTGAGGAGCTTCTTAAAAATGCATTGGTAAGCAGACAGATGAGTGTTTGCTCACACGTTTAAAAGTGGAACCCAGCTTTCCTGCTGCCATCACATATGGCTTATAAAAAAATAACACAAAGCACAGCAGAACGAGTCAAAGCAGAAGCAAGAGGTGATGGCACAAAGGCGCCTGAGTAAAATCAAGCTAACTCTATCAGAACAGAACACGAAGCACCCAGCCAGCAGACCTTGTGTGCTTTCAGAGCTCTCTTGGGTTCCCTTTGCTGTTTTTTTTTACCTCTCTCAATATATGCATGTTATACAGAGGCCAGTGAATGCCTGAGGGAGCTATCTATGTGCTGAGCGGTAGAGGAAGCCAGTCTTTAGAGAGTATCTTGACATGGTCACATTAACATTTTTAAAAACAAAACACCACAGGAGTTATGGGCCCAGCAAAATAGCTTAGTGGATTAAAGCGCTTGTCACCAAGCCTGACGACCTGAGTTTGATCCTGAAACCCAGATGGTGGGAGGAGAAAACTAACTTCCTCAAGTTGTCCTCTGACTTCTACATGCACTCTGTGGCAAGCATACACATATGCACGCATTGTACAAATGTATAAAATGTAACTAGAAATTACTCGAGTTAGCAGATCTCTTCTGACAAAGCTAACAGAATAAGCAGGAATGGCTATCCCCACACCCCCACAGCTATTCCTACAGAATACGGATATACGTACTCAAGAGCTGCTCATCTCTCTGTTTCCTTCTAGGCTGCACATACGTAGCATTGAATGAATCTGTGATAAGCAGAGAGGGTCTGCTTAGCATTTCCAGGGAACATCCATTTAAGTGGCTATAAAGATGAAGAATACCTGTCATTTCAAATGAACAGCGATGGCTTCACCTATTACAAAAGTAACTGCTTTTAAAAACACCCCCAACTATAAACATATGCATTCGTGATTTAAAAAAAAAAAAAAAAAAAAAAAAAACCTGATAAATTCAAAAAAGTTTAAGGAGGAAAGTAGAAATGTTCCAGAGGACCACCACTTCAAGACAAATGAAATGATATATTGGCCCTATCCTTCTCAACAAACGAATTTTCTTGTGTATCCATATAGGCATTTAGAACACAGATAACCCTGTATATTCTTATATATTCATTTCTATCTTCTGGACTTTCCCCATGACATTAGCATTTTTTCTAAACCTAATTTTTAGAAATTGTAAAAACTTGCTGCCAGGCAATTGTTTGTAGAGAAATGGGCTATATGCAGCCCAGGTGACATCACATTCCTCCGTCCTTAGCCTCCCAATAGCTAGGATTACAGGTTTGCACCAAGGTATTCAGCTCACGACTGTAAAAACTTCCTATTTTACCTGCACCATGATGTATTTATCTGACCATTTATTTTTCCCTGTTTGAGTCTCTTTTTCACCATTTTATCTTTGAAAGACCTCCCAGTCCTCCTGCCTCCTTCTCTTAAGCACTGGGACCACAGGGGTGTGCCACCACACCTAGCTGTATTTTTTACTTCTTTAGGACACATTCCTTGAAATGTATATACAACTAGTGTCAAATGGCTTGCTAGAAAGGCTCAACCACAAAGACTGACAAGCTCAATTCTTCCTAGGAGGCTAACAGTATTTGGAAATAATATAAACATATATAATAACTACATACTATTTTAACATCTCTGTTTTGACTAATGCTGTCCAATTTGCAATTAGTGCATTTTTGATTTCTTGGGTAATTCCTAGTTTTATATATATGTAAATCTTTGGCTAATTGCTACAGTACTTTCCCTAGTTTAATGGTTTTACAGTGTAGGTTACTGTTTTAAATCTGCATATAATCAAATTCATCAGTTTCTTTTGTAAGCAACTTGAGCCATCACTTTTGTGTGTGCAGTCTTTTCCAAGTCAGATTGGACACAGCAACACTGCTTCCTTTTCTAGTTAATTCTAAACTTGCCTAAAATTTACTGCTGCACTTTCTAAAGTGGTTGACTTTGTTCACCATTTACTCAGTTTTCTAACCTTCTCATCCACCTACAATTACAAGTCTAAATTCAATCGACTAGTCCTTAATGTTTCTTAATGTAAAGACCCTGAGAGGACTGTAATCTAACACAAAACAGTCAAGAACTTAATGTACAGATGTACCAAAGAAGCCTACAGTGCAGTACACACACACACAATTCATAGTATTTTTCTGAATATCAAATGAATAATGTAAAATTATAACCATTATAATCCCCTTTACAGGAAATCTATCATCGAATATCATTAAGTTACATGGTATTTGAGTACCCAGCCCCCAAAGACAAGAAGTTACAAAGTTTTATCAAGAATTAAAATTATATACGATATAATTTAATGTATAAATATTCATTTCCTTTGAACACCTTCAGGGAAACATCTGCTTTATAGAATAGATATTGATATATAAAGTTTAAAGTCCTTATATGTCCTATAATGAACCTGTCAACCAACAATGAAAATACTCAATACTTGACATTATTATATTGCTGTTCTGATAAAAAAAACCAAAAAGTTGCTTCTAATTTTCCCTTCAATGAATCAAACAATATCTGCATTGCCTTTAGCACTTGTCTAAATATACCTACATCTCCCTCTTGTGGTTGAAGTCAACAGCATAAACAATTTCTTCTTCTCCGTCTTTGACTATTTTCCATATTGTTCCTCCTATCATATGACCAGCAGGCAGGGGTGTGATAGACAAACCATGTCCTTTGCCTACATAACAAGAAAATGACAATGCTCAGATTTTTTTTCACAGTCTCAAGGACAGAAAGTTATGTTAACAGGAACATGTTCACTGGCACTAAATTCAGATGTTAAAATGCTTACAGTGGAAGGACAGCCTCGTCTCTGGTCTCCAGCTACTCTACTCCCTTAATGGAGACAACTGTTCCTTCCACTCCCTTGCTCAATCCCCCAGAGGCATCCATCTGTGCTTACAAGCACAAGGCTAGAGACCGGACTAAACAGCCAGCACACTGCTACTCAGCGTGAACTTCATGCTGTATTTGTAGGGTCATGGGCTTAAGCCCAGGGCCCCATGTACACCAGGCAAACTCCACTGTACTACATCCCTGGGACCAAGCTTTGATATTGTATTGTACAGGTAACTGCAAAGTTGTTTCCATATCTGTTACCTAACTGATAGAATAACAATTCAAACCTCATTATGGTAAAGAATTTACCCACAGCAAAGCTAAACCCAAGCATAACTACTAAGCCTATACCACTAATGGTCACTTTGTGGTTTAGTCACTAGCACCAACTGCTGCTGTGTCACTTTCCTTGGTCAGCTTTTTTATTTTTATTTTTTAGATAGGGTTTCATCATGTATAGCCCAGGCTTCCTAAACTTGCTGTGTATCCTAGATGAGCCTTGAACTCATGATCCTTCTCTCAGCCTCCCAAGCATTTGGATTACAGGAATGAGCCACCACACTGCTTCAGTGCCATGTTTTTAATGCTAGAGTTCATTCATGTTTAAGGAAATCTGTAACAGGATTCCCTCTTGCAGACTTGATATTTGATATCTTTATTAAACAGTAAATTTTCTACTATGCTGTTCTGAGTCACTTTGTCTCCTGAACCTAACTGTAAGTTATAGGAGGATCCAGACACAGTAGCTTTGTTCATTTTACAGTTTCCTACCTACATATGAGGACACCCAAGCCGTTGATATATTGTTAGTATTTAATCTGAAATATTTTGAAATTCAAATGGAAATTCCAGGTAGAAAGTGCTACCCCTTCACCCTCCTCCCCACCCCATCCCCCAAGCACAAGGGTTTCTCTGTGTAGCCCTGGCTTTCCTGGAACTCGTTCTATAGACCAGGCTGGCCTTGAACTCAGAGAGCCATCTGCTGAGTGCTGAGATTAAAGGTGTGCAACCACCATGGTCCGGCAGAAAATACTAATTTTTATTCCCACACCACAGTGCCTATAATTGGTGTTATGAACTCCTCTAAGCACTTTTCAGAAGGTAACTAAGTCTATTACTACAAATTGGGTAGGATGCGATTCAGGGTAGGTTCCTTGGCCAGCATGAGTGAGGCTCTAGGTTGGATCCCAGCACTGTAAAACCTAAAAAGCTGAAAACAAAAAGAAAACAACAGAATCTTTACTCCCTTAGTCCATCAATTTACTACATTACCTTTCAAGTTCACAATCTGAGAGAATTTTAGCTGCTGTATTTTATCGAAGGCTGCATCCACATCATCTAATGTAAAGAGGGTAAAATCTTCCGTATTGTGTCGAGACTAAAGAAAAGCACAAGCCAAAGTTAAAAATGACCATGCATGAAACATAAAAGCCTGTCTTGCTAACTGTTTCAGTTACCTGATAAAGATCGTACATGAACATCTGCCCCATTTTATACACAGGAATTGTGGCATAGATGGCACAGTTCAGACCCAGCTTTCCCACAGCGAATGGGAGGGCACCGAGGTGGAGTGGGTCGGGGTGAGAGAGGAGTACCGCGTCAATCTGGTGAACGTGCCTGTGAACATAACCAAGAAGGCAGCTCCATCAGCTCTTTAAGCATAAAGGGCAGAACCGCCATCATGATTCACGCATTCTAGACTCAAGGCTATGCTGAGGTAGGAAAGCAAACCAAGCGCTAACACAATGACACCCATGAATTGTAATTACAACTGCTACAGTATCAGGTGTGCTTTAAAACACTTAAAAAGAAAAATGCAGACACCACATTTAAGTTGATTTTGAATGGGAATTACGTATGCTATTAAGTTTAAGAAGTCAACTTGGAATTGAGGAAATGTTACAGGGACAATACTTAAATGCTTAAATAATTGTTACTGACTCTGCTTCAGTTTTCTAGCTTGGTGACAAAATAAAATGCCAATTGTCATAAATATCATTAACCTGGGAAGTATATGTCCTCAAGAGCAACAGGATAAAGGAGATGCTTTAGAGATGGAGATCCTCCCCCACACACATATTTGTATCGGGTGGATACCATTCAAAGAGTAGAGCCACAATGTTGAATGGAGACACAGAAAGTGATGGGCTGGAGAGATGGCTCAGAGGTTAAGAGCACTGACTGTTCTTCCAGAGGTCCTGAGTTCAATTCCCGGCAACCACATGGTGGCTCACAACCGCCTTGAATGAGATCTGGTGCCCTCTGCTGGCATGTAGGCAGAACACTGTATACATAATAAATAAGATCTTAAAAAAAAAAGTGATTTGGGGGCAGGCTTTCACATGTCACCTCTCCTCAGGTTTGACACATGATCTTTCCAAAAACTGAAGAGCACGCTGTCTGTGGTCCACTAGCAAATTCACTGAATTTCAAAAACAAAACTCATTAGCCAATCAAAACCTTATAAATTACAATTTAGTTTTCTGCCACGAATAAACTTACTATAAACTAAAGAAATGACAGCAACAGTACATAAACACAGAATGACATTATAAAAGTGTAGAAAAAGAGAAGGTGAGGATCTGCATTTTTTTAAAAGCTGATTTAATAAAAGCTTAGAAGAACTGTAACTTACTTCCTCAGGGAATCAATAATGTCCATAGAGAAGTGTTCATCCCAGCCACAGTCCAACAAAAACCTAAACTCATCAACCTGGAGAAGATAGCAAAGAGCAGACTCTTCTTGGACCCCCGAGAGGGTAGTCAATTTGATGATAGAAGTCATCTTTCTGGTCCAGTAATGGTTATCTAAACAGTGCTGACAAATGAAAATATAATTAACATAAAAGCATGGTCCACAAAACAGGCAAATTATTTCCATTTTTAGATGCACAGACATTCCAGAGTCTGATTAAAAGCTAGCATGTTAAAATTCATTCCATCACAGCCATATTTACAAGTACAGTCTTGTTTACAGAGTCCTTCCCAGCCTCCCCTGGGCAGGTCTGTAAACAGTAGGGAACTTTGGAATCACTGATCCAGATTTCAATCAACTCCTACATGATTCAGGGCAAAGTAATTAACTTTCCTCACCTAGGGACTCCAGTCCATAAAATATTAGTATTAATATACACATACATAGGGAGGAGGATTCCAAATAACCAGGCAATTATCTAGAGCAGAGATTACTACACCCAGATTTTTCAGTATTAAGTGGTAGTAAATTAAGAACTCAGCTTCGAGGCTAATCTGTCTTTTCTTCATCTAGTTATAAGTCTTTTTCTCCAGATAAGAGGTCTTAAATATAGGGGCTCTCTTGAGAACCTGATTAAAAACCATGACTGCTTCTTTCTCCTGAAATTCTCAACATACACACTCATGCGTGCTTGTGTGAGCACACGTACACCCACACCCACATAAAATATATACATTCATAGAAACTCACATACTTTTCAGGAAGCTTAACATTAACAGCTCTTGTGCTACAATTGTAAGCAACTGAAAGACATTTTTTTGTATTTTTAAAGATTTATCTATTTATTAGGTATATAGTGTTCCGTTTGCATGGATGCCTGCAGGCCAATAGAGGGCACCAGATCTCATTGCAGATGGTTGTGAGCCACCATATGGTTGCTGGGAATTGAACTCAGGACCTCTGGAAGAGTAAGCAGTGCTCTTAACCGCTGAGCCATCTCTCCAGCCCTCTGAAAAACATCTTAATGTTTGCAATTAATTCTAACAGTGTATTATGTTTGCAATTCCCCAAACAACCTGACACAGAGTAGGCACTCAACACACACCAGATGCAATGTATGTGGGGATACCTACTATACATTTTCCAAAAAGATTAATATGAACACTGTTTTGTAGTAAACTTGTGGAATGAAGCTTTTGGAAAAAGTCAGTGAGATGGCTCAGCAGGTAATGTAGGGTCTACATGTAACGGCTCCATCTTCCTTTTGTTTGTTTGTTTATCTACAAGGTCTCATGTAATGCAGTTGGCTTCTCTATGTAGCAAAAGATGACTTTAAACTCCTCATCCTCCTGCCCCCCTCCTTCCCAAATACTGGGATCATAGGCCTGACTAGACTTGAGCCATTTGATACATTAATTGGCAGAGGCATATAGTAGCTGTTCTAATAAATTAAACTCTGAAACACACTGATTTACTGTATTTCCATTTGAGGTATGAGAAATAAACACATTAATTTTCTATTCCTTTTGTTTATTTTCAAGATGGGTATTATTACGTAGCCCTGGCTGTCCTGGAACTCACTATGTAGACCAGGCTGGTCTTAAACTCACAGATATCCACCTCCCTCTGTCTCCAGAGTGCTGTCTCTGCCTCCAGATTAAGTCAGACATGTACATGTTGCATATACATACATACAGGCAAAACACTCACACATACAAAATAATAAATCAAAAAAAGAGAAACAATGTTAAGGAGTTAAATTTACAAAAGGATACAACATAAAAATAAAATGGTCATAAGGCAAACTGGTTGTAACCTGCTTACATATACAGTTTAGAAAATGAAGTTTAAAAATTCTCCATTGCTTCTGTTACTGAGAACTAAGATTACTTATTGAGCTTTATAAGGTCAGGGCAGAAAGAGAAAAGACATTCAAAAGATTGGAATGACATCAGCTAAGATACAAAACACAAAGCTAGAGCTCATCAGCGAAGAACTCAGCCTTCCATGCTTACATAGAAAGACACAGACTGACCTAATGAGCAGGGCAGGCCCAGTTGACAGGCCCTGGATACCTTGGATCTAGTCTACAGGCAATAAAGACACATTTGAAATTCATTAGCAGGAAGAAGGCATGATACAGGCAACTCTGTACGAAAGAAAGCAGACGACGTGCATGACTGTACACCAACAGAGCGTGGACACAGAAAGGGGAAAGTGCTTAATTAAGATTCCTAAACACCTCTCTCCACTTCTTGGACTCTATTCTTTAGTTCCCTCTGTATTTTAGAATTCTTTATCAATCCATTGGTTTTTAGCTAAGTAGCCAAGGCTGAAGGTCTTCCCTTTATTTCCCTGGACTGTCCCCTATCAATTCTGGGTTGTTTCTCCCTCACAACACTTTGCACACATACCATCCCTTTTCTGTTCCTACTGTCAACACCTGAACGTCATACCTCATGATCTTACATTTGGGTTTCTCCCTTTCTCTCCCTACAGCTTCTCCCCCCTTTGTCTCAATGGAAACATTACTGCCAGGTTAACCTAAAACATCCCTACACACACACACATCACCCCTTGCTCAAGTCTTTGAAGGCAGGGCTGGCAAGATGGCTCAGTGATTAACTTGAACCTGAGTTCTATCCCTTGTACCCACGTGATGCAAAGAGAGTACCTACTCCAGCAAGCTGTCTCTGACCTTCATCTGTGCACTGTGGTACATGTGCATGTGTTCGTGCACGAAGAGTAAATAAAAACCCTAAAATCATTTTATTGTTTGAGGGAGAAAAACAAAAACAAATAGCTGAATGCTATTAGTAGCAAGTGGAATGAGGAATCACCAGGAAGCTGCCTTGACATCAATTCACTCTTTTCTCGGGGTCTAGATCAAATTTTGCCTCCTTCCTTATTGTTTTCTCATCATTAGTCTAGACTAGATTAATAGAACTCAAGTCACAGATGTAATCTAAACTTTTTCATAGCCACATCTAAAAGTAAAAAGAGGTAAAGTCTAATGTTTTATTTAACATCATCATTTCAACATGTGCTCATTTAATGAGTCCGTTTACATTGTTTTTGTGCTGTCTTCAAATTCCAGGACGTCTCTGACCCACTTCAAGTGCTCAATATTGCATGTGGCTAGTGGCTATGATAATAGCAGAGGTCTAGACTCCAAAATCAATGCTTTAGGCTGGGGAACATTGTGTTTTGCCACCGCTAAAGAGCAAAGTTGCCACCACCCTGTTTTTATGTACATGCCTCAGACTGGATTTTAATGGTGTCACCAACCATGAAGTCTCCCAGACTAAAAACTAACCACCCCTTACCAGCAAATTCCTACCGACAAGTTGAATCCTACACAGCACCTCATTTCTGTTGGTCTTTCTTCTCCTGCCTCAATGGAGGTGCTGTTGCCTTACCCCAGTGACTGCAATTTCATCTAGTCTTCTTGCCTCAAGTTGCCCTCTGTACCCTTAACATGCCCACTCCCTGAAAGCATGCACTAGCTTCCGGCTAACTATTGAACACAATCCAAACTGAAATCAAGACCACTAACAAGCTGCTCTCAGACTCCAACTTGCACCTTCAGTCTGCACCAACCACTCTTCCAGTGTTGTTGTTGTTGTTTTTTTTTTTTTTTTTTTTTTTTTTGTATTTAAATCTCCCTTAACAATGCCCAACCTTCTTAAGTTTTTAATCCTCATTCTTTATCCAGGAGTGACTTTGTTTTCCTGGGTTTAGTAAATTCCTTTTGATCCACCTCAGGTGCGGCCTTTTCACTGTCCCTGTCTCCAGGTAAAGCTGGCTGCTTGATTACTTAGCACAGATGCTGAACGTCTAAAAGCTACCGTCTTCACATCACCCAAACCGAGCACATCGCTCCCAGCAACATAAATAAATGCATGCTGAAAGCAGTAGTGATTTTTTACTATCTCTGCTTCAATACCGAGTATATTCTTGCTCTCTCAAGAATGTTCATTAAGTTGAAGACAACCAATGAGAAGAACGCAAAATCCAAGAACAAAGATGGGTCTGGACTAGTTCTGGGGCTTAGAGTCGGGGAGAAGTCTCTCCTTAGTCGTTCAGGTAAAGAAGGGCTTTGAAACAGGCAAGGGGAGTTGTAACATTAAAGGTTAGAGGGTAGGCACAGATGGTGGCTT